GCATTGAATATGAAATAGGGTATTGAAGGTTCTTGAATGTATTTTCAATATATTTCTCCTTCTCTTGTAAATATTGAGGGCTGCAAATTTGAAGTGCTCTTAAATAGAATATGTGTGTGTGTGTGTGTGTGTGTGTATGGACCTTCCTGTGGGATCAAAAGCCATCTTGCACACAGCCCATTGAGAATGATGAACCACTTCATTAAAAGTCTTAACAAAAGCTAAGAGAAAGAATACTCTGATGTGACATCTGTGACTCCCAAGCAACAGATGATGTAGATTTGCTTGGGATGAGATGATTAAAAGAAAAATAAAAAGTGAAAAAAGGAAAAGAAAAGGTAATATTTTTGTTTTTTTTTCAAATAAGCTTAGAATTAGTTTTTTTTTTTTTCAACTTCCAAATAACGCATCATCTCTGCTTGAGTTCAAAATGCCATAAATTATACACACAAATGCTGCTTAACAAATCAAATGCATGTGAAGCCTGGTTAACCAATAGAAATGAAACAAAAAATAAAAATGCTAATTCTCTGATGAAACATTATTAAAGTGAAATATATTTGACTGATAAGTATTTCCTACTTGTTCTTTTTCCTATCACCCTAATATATATATATATATATATATATATGTATGTATGTATGTGTGTGTGTGTGTGTGTGTGTGTTCTGAGTACTTTTGACTATTGGTAGTCATTATTAAAAAAGATAGAATTTGTTAGATATCCTATATAGCATTTATGTTGTTAATGGTCCAGAGTTTGAAATGGACAAGTGTGCAATAGATTTTACCATTACATGGATAAAATGACCTTATAGTTCATACACAACCAAATTGAAATATATTTTATTGGGAGTGTATAGCTGTCCTTTGATCTTAAAATGACCTTATGGCTCAAAAGCATTTTAACACATACACAACTAGATTGAAATTTATTGAGAGTGTATAGCCGTCCTTTGATCTAAAGATCCTCAAAAATTTGTAATTGTTTTTTGTGGGTTTGTTTTGCAAAGAAATATTGAAAAATCAACCAAAGCCTTGCAGAAATTACAAGAGACATTATGGATTTGTGTGAAATGTTTATATATGACAATTTGCTTGGATAGATGACAGATCAAACTTTTCATAATAAAATGTTTCATATGAACAATATATGTTCGTGTTTGAAACTCCAAGCCATTAACAACATAAATGCTCCACTGAGTTTTAGCTTGTTTCCTTAAAAATGACAAATGATGTTCAAAAGTACTTGGAACTTAACACAGAATTTTGCCAACTTTCTTTACAAGTTTCTACTTGATATTAAACAGCTTATTCTGCAGCATAAGAAATTCACTAAAAGGCTTGACAGCTATTCATTGTCAATTCCATTCAATAAATAATGTTTAATTTGAGGATTGTTGCCAATATTTATCTGTATGTAAATCTGAAAACAGATGGATGATTAAACTTTCCTTCTTGATAAGGTGGGTATTTTTAAGTTTTTACACATTTTTCTCTAATTCTTGGATACATGGGAAAAGTTTGCCTGAATACAATCAGGGAAAATATGTGATAGACTGAGGTATCTTAGACAAATGACACTACGTCTTCTATCGCAGTTGGAGCAGCTGTTAAAAAAAAAAATAGAAGCTTCGGTGAATGCAGCGAAGCATGACAGACAGAACAGCACTAATCAGCAGGCAGGTTAGGTTTAAGGCTTCAAGTTCTCCACACAGAATTGTCCCACTGAACAATAGCCTAGTGGATTAAAATGATGGTTCATGAATTTGGTGATATAGTGAGTTCAATCCTTAAGCAAGACAGTATATACTTGGACTCAGTATAAACAGGGCAAGTAATAATGGAGCATTATTAAAAGAAATAAGATTTCCCTAGATATGAGTAGTGGAATGAGAACAATCTATTGCTGAAGATTTAATAAAGGGTTCAGTTCAAAAAAGATCAACATACATCAGATGAAGGGCAGAGAGCACAGTGGCCAAAACATTGTGATAATAACAACAAAGATGAGGGCAATAGTCCGGATGTAAATAATGTAAAGATCTTGGTTTTGTTTGCTAAGGGGAAACTGGATTAAGTTTCTTAAAAGAAGATAAGAAGAAGGAAATGAAAAAAAAATTGAATGAATATGATATTTCGTAGAATGTTGAGATTCGTGGAGGTCTGCTTCTGTAATGCTTGAGTGAAATGAAGGATGTGTAAAATAAGAGAAAGAAATGAAATAAAGGCAGAAGTGAAAAAAAAAAAAGAGAGAATAATTCTACAGAAGGGATAAAATGCAAGTGGAGAGAGAGAGAGAGGTGGAGAGAGAAAGGTGGGTAGTGATTGGAAAATGAGAAGAAAAAGAATAGACAAAGATTCCTTTGTTTTTCTTTTTTTTTTTTTGAGAAAAAAGACTTTTATCAGAAAATTGAAAAAGTAGTTCTTTATTGGATAGAAAAATGAAAACAGAAGGAGAGATAGAAAAAGTGAAATGAAGGATGTGCAAAATGAGAGAAAGAAATGAAATAAAGAAAGGTAGAAGGCAAAATGGAGGCAGAAGTGAAAAAAAAGAAGAGAGAGAATGATTCTACAGAAGGGATAAAATGAAAGAGAGAGAGAGTGGTGGAGAGAGAAAGGTGGGTAAAGATTGGAAAATGAGAAGAAAAAGAATAGACAAAGTTTTTTTTTTTTTTTTTTTGAGAAAAAAGACTTTTATCAGAAAACTGAAAAAGTAGTTCTTTATTGGATAGAGAAATGAAAACAGAAGGAGAGATAGAAAAATGAAGGAAAAAAAAAAACATAGGGCTTATTTACACTATTTACATTCTTTGGAATGTTGTCCTCATCTTTATCGTCATATTCATGACATTTCAGCCGTTATACACTCCAGCCTTCTTCAGGTGATATACAGTGGAAGAAGAAGGGTAGAGAATACAATGGACAAAATGTTGTGAATATAACAATAAAGACAAGGACAATAATCTGAACAATGTAAACAGTATAAATAATTACAATACCTCACCTCAAAAATATAGACATACATAGTACCGAAGGGTTGAAAAGAAGAGGCAAAAGTAAATGAGATAGAGAGAATGAGTGACAGAAAAAACAAAAAAGGATATATAGAAAGAATGAGAAATAAAAAGAGAAATTAAAGTTTTTTAAAGAATAAGAAAAAGAAATAAAGCAGAAATATTAAGAGAGGAAGAAAGAGAGGCAATGTAAAAAAGGAGAATACAAAAATTAAAAAGGTAAAATCGAACAAGGGAAGGAAAAAATAAACAGAGAGAGAGTGAGAATGGGGGAGAAATAAGTCATTTAAGAGAAATACAGTTTTCAAAAGTCTATGTCAGATTCTAAGAACTCTTATATCATGAACTACAAATGGTAGCATGATTGAACTGGTACCATTTATAAGCTGAAAAGTGTCAAGTTTTCTTCTGTTAATTTAATTTTAATTTAATTAATCCTCATCATGAATTTTGCACAGAAATGCTAGAGAGGTTGGAAGAAGACAGACTTGATGACTGTGTTGTATCCACTAAAGTATCAACTACAATATTTATAAACCAATCACACTCAAAGTTCTTACATCTTAAAACACACCAATAAAACCATAGAATACAAATCAGAATGGTTGTTTTATTAATCATCATGATTTAGGTAGATACCACCAAAACATCGTGCAGATGTAGTAGAAGACATGTCAGAGTTAACTCCTCCTTCAGTTCGTAACCCTTTCACCAGGGGTCGCTCTTTGCTGCTATAAATAGCTGCTGACCCTTCGCCTCTTACTCTTTTTTCCCCTCAGACCTTCGCATCGACACCTGGAGGTAAATCTCTCTTTTTCCTCAGGCTTTCAGCTTACAACCTCAAAATGTAGGCGCTAACAAGGGATAGCGTGGGAACACGCTAAGCACAATACACACACACACACACACACACACATACAGAATATGCACACACACACACTTTGTCCTTTGTAACTGTTTTCGTGTAACTTGTTATTAATATATATTTGTATACATGTATTATCGATCTTGTGTTTGTTTTTCTTTGCCTTCTTCTTCGGACTTAATCAAAGTCCAACCTTTTTATGTAGTTGGGCCGGCGAGCAGGAAAAATCTGAACCCACATGTATTCAACACGACGTCTACTCAACAACATAACAGCCACGGCCCTCTACAGACACACCACATGGCTTTTTAGGGCCAATTAGGAATAGCACGATTAAAATGGTACCATTTAAAAAGCTGAAAAGGGTCATGTTTTCTTCTGTTAATTTAATTTTAATTCAAGTAAATTTGATTTAATTTTGTCTCTTTTCAGATTCAGTAATGTCATTCACAAAACAAGAGAAGTCATTTTACATTTTAGAATATGCTAAAACTGAAACTTAGATATGTGTTCAATACAAATTTTGTACAACATTTACCAAGCAGGCACCAAACAGATGTTCCATTTTGAATTGGCATGCAATATTTGAGGAGGAGGAGGAGTGTTTGTGCTCGGCAAAGGGAACAGGATACCCCTCAACTTCAGATGATACGGTTGAAAAATTTCGTTTGGATGTGTACTGTGTAACCCACAGTGCTCGCATTAAACACCTGTAAAAACCTGAACAAAAACGTGGAAATATTAGCTTTCAGGAAATATAAATTGTATTTTGATATCCTCATTAGTTATTAAGATATACGGTGCCATAACGTGAAAGACTTTTGAAAGACCCTGTATAAAGAAATAGATAATGTGTGTGAACACAGACTGAAAAAGGAAACAACCCTTTGTAGGTTATTTAAAGCCAGAACATATTCTTAGATTTTTAAAAAAAAAATTTTTGATACAGATCTTACTAATTAACCTATAGTTGGAAGGAGAAAAGGTGGATTTATGCCTTTCCCAAGGGTATTTTTGCACATGGGAATATAATGAACCCAACAGGAATTGGAACTCTACTCTCTAGTTAACAATTCTCAGCCATTATCCATTACACCACCATCAAATACAAGCTTAAAGTACCTGATATTCCCGAGCAGTCACCCATCTAGGTACTGACCAGGCTCAACATTGCTTAACTTTAGTGATCATATGACAATCAGTGTTTTAACATGATGTGGCCATCAGCTGAAACAGAAAAAAGAGTAACAAAAGGAACAGAAAAAGGGAAATAAATGAAAAGAAATTGAGGGTGAATAGAAAGATTAACAAAAATATTTGCAAAGGATAGGAAATGGTGGAGAGCCATGATCGACCATTTCCTGAAGGGACATGATAAAAGGAAGAAAGAAAGAAGAAACTGTGACAGAAATGAAATTAAAAAAAAAGAGAAAAAGAAAATAAGAAAGAAAGAAAAAACAAAGAATAAACAGAGAAAAAGAGAAGGGAAAGGAAGGAAATGGTGGAGAGCCATGATCGACCATTTCCTGAAGGAACATGATAAAAGGAAGGAAGAAAGAAGAATCTGTGACAGAAATGAAAATATAAAAAAAAGAGAAAAAGAAAATAAGAAAGAAAGAAAAAACAAAGAATAAACAGAGAAAAAGAGAAGAGAAAGGAAGGAAAGGTTGAAAAAGAAAATTTCTGATGAAAAAAATGTGGTAAGTAAAAAAGTATTTTTGATCATTACAACTATTACTACTTTCGGCAGAGGGTACCATTTTCAGCGTCAGGTAGTGTTAGAAACCATTACAAAGACTACTGGTGCGCATGTACCTGTGGTCTTGCCAGACACTTTGATAGATTTTCTATTGTACGTATTCAAGACAGCTGTTTGCAGTCTCTGGTTGTTGAGAGGCAGTGTGTGAAGTTAACGCAGAGATATGTCCATTTTCCACAATACCTACTTATATATTAATGTGTAAATATGGACACAAAGTCAAGGAGGAAGGGTATAAGTATGCTTGCATAAAAACAAATTCACTCTTGAATCATCTATTATATTATATATATATATATATATATATATATATGCATGTATATGTTCCATACACCAAAGTTCATCCATTATTATTTTTCTTTTTTTGACAGGGTTGACAATGTAATTCCTTGGATGGAGGTACCAATTGATAAAAAAAAAAAAAAGTATGAATATTAGAAGCCTCTCTGAGATTTAGCATTGAGCTGATCATCAGTTGCCTATCATGCTATATATATATATATATATATATATATATATATATATATATATATATATATATATATATATAGTGTAACCCGGATATAAGAGAGTTGTCGGGACCGGAGAAGAAGTCTCTTATATCCGGTTTGGTCTATTTTATACACATTAACACAGGCTCTAATTTGGGACCAGAGAAAATCTCTTATATCCGGGTTACACTGTATATATATAATTATTTATTTAAAAATTATAACATAAATGTGATTTTATAACATATTTATGTTACAATTTTTGAATAAATAATTATATCTGCTCTACTCTGTATTGAGCACTCTTTTAAGAATAGTAATTGTTGGTTATTGAATTTATTCCGTATACACCAATCATATACTTGGGTGTGTGTGTGTGTATATATATATATATATATATATATATATATATATATATATATAGTAAGAGAGAGAGAGAGAGACAGAGAGATAGATGGGAGTTATAATTTTCCTTTTCTCTTTTTTCATATTGTTATGCTACAAATATACTGTTTTATATATGTATATATATATATATATATATATATGAAGAAATACAATTTTTAGGTGTGCTATATTCATGGGATAAAGTGCTCAATATCAGATATAGAATATATGCAAATATAAATATAAAAAGTGAACATTGAAGTCAACACTCAGCGGTGACAGGCTGTTTCATGCTGGATGCAATCATCAGGCTGCCAACTGTGTCCATCATGAAACAACCTGTTGCCTCTGAGTGTTGACTTCAATGTTCTTATATATATATATATATATATATATATATATATATATATATATATATATATATATATATATATATATATATATATATACCCCAAGTATTATTTTTTAGTGAATACACATGTTTGAGTAAACGCACTGTTTTTTTTTTCTTTTAACAGTGTGAATATTGTTTCTCAAATGTAGAGGGCAGTAGATATAATTCAGTGTTTTAAAAAGAAAAGAAAAAAAACAAAGTGATTTGTTTGAGGTAAAAGAAATATTGGATTAAAAATTAAATCCATTAGTTACTTAGAAAAAAAAATATTTATGTGCAAATAAGTGGACTGTGTATGCATGTGTATGCTTAGTTTATTTACCTATATGTATGTATTAGGCTGCATAAATCTTTTTAATAAAAGAATACCTGCACGCCTGGTGTAGAAACCAAAACGTTAACACTAGTATCATAAGTAACTTATTCATCACACCTACCAAACTTCAGCACACAGACATTCACAAGCACACAGAGCTTTTATATATATATATATATATATATATATATATATATATATGTGTGTGTGTGTGTGTGTGTAAGATGAAAAAGCATAAATGCAATGATGATATGATTTGTTTTTTAAAGTAAGGACAAGGTATATTCAATATAACAAGTTGGTTGCCTTTTGAACTTGATATATTCCTTAAATAGGATTATACATATCTTTCTAAGGTCGTTATTGCAATCGAGATTGCATTATATCCAACTATGTGCAAGGTAATGACTGAGAAATATATATCTAGTGCTCGTTTTCTTAAATGTAGTAGGCTATTTTGTGAGGGATATGCATCAAGTCACAAGTGGGAATCTACAAACACACACTGTAGAGAAAAGGTAAAAAAAAAACAAAAAAAAACTAGTTTCGCCATGCAAACAAAAAATATTCAACATCTATTTAAAATTTGTTAAATTAAAATGTGCAGAAAATTGATATATATATATGATAAATTCTATAAATATACACATTTCTATATATGTATTTATACACAAATGTAGTTTTGCCTGCTTCTTATATGTTGTTTTACATGTTTTATATATCACACAAATATATGCATATATGTATGGGTTGGGGAAATAGATATAAATTTCTATATATCAAATTGTTACGCAAATGAATGACAAAGTAGAAAAATATATATACATATATGTATATGTATGGTGTGTGCATTTTTGTGTGTCTGTGTGTGCATGTGTCTATATATATATATATATATATATCACAAAGAGAAAAGAGAGATGAAGGCAAAATAATCTTTGATATCTTAAAAATATATTTCAAGAATCAAACAGAATTTGCAATGCATATTTATATTTTCTTTATAAAAAGGAAGAAAAAGATATATGCATATGTGTTCATGCATAGAAATCTGCAATTTTGTGCACAGATATATGCATATCTAAAAAAAATGATGCTTCATATGCATAAACGTATATGCAATACGTCTATCTACACACCACACTTCAACCTCTGCATGAGCAAGTAGGGATAAACATTGTGTTTGTGTGCAAGGGTGTGGGAAAATGAAAGTAAAATCAAATATAATTTAATGCTTCCTTCTCTGCTCTTTATGTAAGTGAAGTCTTGAGTTTAGAATTTAAAATTACTCTAATATAGTATATAAGAAAACTAATTTGGTGCCAAATAACTGCATCCATTTCAAGACTTTAATATTACTGTATATGTGATGGCCTCAGATCATTTATGCAAACATTCACACACACACGCTTATATAACACACACACACACATATATATATATATATATATATATATATATATATATATATATATATATATATATAAAAAAGGCCACACTTTTGCTTTGAAACACAAGGTATTGAAACCTACTTGCTGGCTTCTACTAATTATAGAAAATTTATTGGGCTGCCTAAAATGTTTTTAGTTTATTGAGCAAATTCTCTACATAACAAGTGAACAACACTTCTAGCCAATCTAAGATATAAAAAAATTATATGTACACACACAGAATATGAGCAGGTACGTTCACACCCCTTCACCTCTTTTGAACAAGAGTAGATTCTTTTCCCTCCCAGTAGCATCTTGTGTCTTAGGGACTTTATTGCCTTGCTTGGAATGAAATGATCAAAAAACATACAAAGATCTTAGATGGATATATATATATATATATATATATATATGTCTGTTGAGCGTTGACTTCAATGTTCACTTTTTATATATATATATATATATATATATTCAATATATTGTAACAGTTTTAATATATATATATATATATATATATATATATATAAAATCAATATTAGAATGTCTGCTAAATTTGTGTTGAAACAGTGCTTAGTATCACAGTGTTGGTCTATAAAATCAGAGTGGACATAGGAATCATACTTCAAATATATCTCACTACTCCTTTCTTAGGCTTCTTATATAGTCCGATAGAAGATTAAAAGGAATGGAGAAAGCAAGAAACTGGTCCTTCCTAGTTCTTTTGCTTAGTTATAGTCATGAATGATAGAAATATATAAGTATCTTTAATATAAAAAATAAAAATGATTCATAAAACCTTCTTAAATGATAAACTGCTGTCCAAGTACAGACTCTTACTTATACACACAGTTAGATATGACCATGCACATGCTATATGTTAATTCCACTCATTTTTATAAATATGATAGATAGATATATATATATATTATATATATATATAAAAGATATACACACATTAAATATATAATATATATAACACATATATATATATATATATATATATATATATATATATATATATATATTACATAAGCACACACATTTTTATATATATATTAATATTACACACTATATATGTATACACGCGCACACACAAGAAGTGTGTGTGTGTGTGTGTGTAATAAAGGTAGTCCTGCAGGAAACAATCTTGTGTTTAATTGTATCATGTCAATGCAGTCCTTTGTCAGGTATAACATCACAGTGACTCTTTAATGTAATGCATATGTCTTTGTTAAAAGAATTGCTGTTTTTTGCTTTCCTTTTCAACCCTTCGGTACATTTTTTGTTTGTGTGTGTGTGTGTGTGTGTGTGTGCACATATATTTGTGTGGTAGGGATGCTCTGCACCGATCGCACACAACAATATGAAGGAAAATGGTTAAAAATGAGCTTTTCAGGTGAGCAAATTGATCTTGCTCTGAAGTAGAGAGTATGAGTTGGGATGCAGTA